CAATGGTCATGCCTTAACTTTGACATTTCTGTATTGCATTAGTTTTTAATATTTCTCATGGGGATTTAATCATTTTTGACTTCTCAGTCGGAGTTAAATCTCTTTTTTGGCTCAAATCATCCATAAAAGAAAACTTACCTAATAATTCTGCACATCTTAATGAGTTTTTTTATTTCCAGCCTTCATGTACAATTATATATCAATTCTAAATGACTAAATACTAAAATAATAGTAGTTATTAAGATTGATGTGGTTTGGAATTGGTAAAATGTGCTTGGAAAAAAATATGATCAGAATATCAACGTACCTAATAATTATGCACACACTGTAAGATGTGCTCCCTTTACACAGAGTGCGCATGATCTCGAAATCGAAAGTGAACAGCGAGCGCTCATTCAAATGCGATTTCAATACCCTGCATATTGATAGCGGCTCCCTGATGTGAGAAAATAATATACAATATTAGAATGTTTGTGGGAGCGGGACACATACATTGCGGGAGTGGGTGGTAATGGTCAGAAATTCAGCGGGAGCAGGCTTAAGAAAATTGTCCCCAAGGGTCTAGGCTGCGCATCAACAACACACGCTAAGTTTTTTTTCGCGCTATCCCATCTCCACCCCCAATCATTAGTGCAGAACATATAGGACCATTTTTGAAATAGCACCATAAACAGGGGTTAAAGCAAAAAAAAAAAAAAACCCCCAGCCAAACCCCATTCCACAGCCATACCGGTCACACACCAAGTTTAAAAGCATTTTTTCTTCATCTTGTAATTAGGAGTGCTTGTCCTCCTAATTTAAAATAATAAAAAAATCAATAATAAAAAATTATTTGCACCTAATATGAGGTGACATTTGACTCAAAGTGACTTACAGGGGTATTTTCTTTTTACCTTTGTAATGGCATCTTTTTCATCTATGTCAAATTCAAAAATGTATGTTTATAAGCTTTTTAAATTATCTATTTAAAACAATATAATAAGTAGTAGAATAAGACAAATAGGTTACAAATCATATGAAATAAGTATTAATAAATTTATTTGTGGCACAGAAGAACACAAAAGTGGCTTGTAGGTACATTTTCAGACGTTTAATGAGGCTCAGAGGTGGCATGAGTGCAATTAAATTCATACATTTATGTGGAGATTAAGGTTTTAAATATAACATTGTGAATACAGAAATATTAAATGATTTAAATAACTGAAATTATACACTAAAATGAAACTAAATCCGCCAGCAGGTGGCGACAAGTCACTGATTTTATCACTGAATCATTCATTCAATTGATTCGTTCGAACGGCTGATTCATTCAGGAATGAAGCAAATTACTGTCTTTATGAATGGGTAATTATGAATCACTGATTCACTAGATTCGTTCAAAAACGCACTTTCATTGAATGAATGAAACTCAGCTGTGTTTGCTTTTAGAGATGCTAAGTGGCTGAGCTGTTACTATATTTGGAACTATTTTCGTTAAAGAAATAGAGCAAAATCAGGCAGTACTTGTTTACTGAACTGTTGTATTGAATCAATATTACATTGGCAAACTCCCTTAATAATTATTCAAATCTGTCACTCTCCTTATCGCGATCTGTGGGCGCACAGAAAATGAGAGCGGGCGAGTGAGTTCTCAAGACTCAAAAGCACGTGCAAATGATACGTTCTGTCATCGCATTATAAGCGCGTAACCTGCGGGAATGAGTACAACTGTTATTAATAGTCGCAATCTTGCGCCAAAATTCAAGTCCTGCTCTGTGTTCTCTGCTAATAACCCGAGTGTGAATGATGCATCCCTATGTTGTCACTGAGAAGCTGCAGCCGTGGCCGGGAATGATTTTTGGTGTGCCGGCAGAACAACAATAACAACAATGCGCTACATGTTTCTTTTCCCCTCAAAACTTTAATCTCTGCATAAACAAAATTTATTTCTAATTTAATTCAAGCACTTTCAAGGACCTATGCTTGTTTTCAAGTACTTTCCAGGCCTTGAATCCATATGTCTGAAATTCAAGTGCTTTCAAGAAGCGTGGGAACCCTGCTCAGATATGGGGATGCCTGCATTAACATTAACTAACCCCACACTTTAGCCACTATACCCCTTTTTAAGCCTTTGATTCACCAGTATCCCAAATACATGAAAACTAATTTGCTTTAGAAATCAGACATTTTATATTTTTGTGCATTTTGAGTATATTGAGGGTGATTTACTAAGAACTTAGCAAACAATCATAAATTATCGATATTTAAAGGCTTTAGCATGTGACATTGCCAAATGTTAGCCAAACTGATATTATTTTTTATATTTTTATCGTATGTCATAATTATACTTTTATCCAATTTCACAAATGTGTTCATTTGATTAGTGGCTCAGAAATAGTGCATAATATTAAATGTTTCTTAAACAAACAGACTTTTGGTTTACGTACAGGTTTAAATTAAGCTTTGAATCATATATTTTAATGTGGTATCAGGCTGTATGTGTATTTTTTAAATAATTGGTCGATATACCTAGATTCGCTTTTGAACATTTTCAAAATGATAGACATTGCTTCTAAAAAAAAATATCATCTGAATGTATAAATCTCAAAGAAGACAATAAGACATGTTTTTTACATTTATTCCTTCACACAATGGATTTATACCATTAATTGCTCATCTGACACAAATAAGTATTACCGGTGAGCATGGTGATGAGAGGTAAGGACTGCTCCTCAGCTGAGCCCCAGTATCCCGCCTCTCCCAGCAGGTTTCTCTCTAACACCTGGTTGTAGAGCTCCTCGATCCAGGCCTGAGACAGAACCACCAGAACGCCACTGCTCTGGATCTGACGCACAAACTCTTTCTGCACACACAGACACAGCTCATTCAGCATCACCATCAGATTGTGTGGGCTGGTAAAATAATGGTAGAATTTATGGTAAAATATTGCAGGAATACCAAAGACACCAGAGCACATGTAGGTTTCCTGCGGTAATAGTCACAGCAGCATAGTTTGAGATTGAGCAGTAGAGCATAATAGGAAACCAGGTACAATCCATCTGCATTCATCAGAGCCTGACAACTCAGGTTTTCACTGCCCTCGAAACCTGGAGAATGAACCCCACCTACAAGACCATACAATAACATCACATTACCTTCAACTGCACACATACAAACATCTTAACAATAAACTTAAAGTGTCTCTAATATTTGAAAGTTTGGTCTTATGCCAATAAGACTATGTATAATAACAATATCAGTATTTAGTTTCTGTATTTAGTGTATGTGAACAACTTAGTATGTTAACTTGTTTAATAGTCAGTATATGACTATGAAACGTTAGTAGTTCCAAATTGATATCTTTCATTTATCTTCGAACAAAATAAAGATATGTTGTAAAAAGCTCATTGATTAAGGAACAACTATAAAGCAGGCTCTAACTAGACAATAGTGTCATTATTTAGCTCAATTCAAGTTTAAGAGACATGATTACTTGATATGATGAACAGATTTAGTTTAGGTTTTTATTCACATTTAAACATTGACGAACGGACACATGCATTGAGTAAATCAAATATGGTAAATGGAAGCTCAACCGCGCATGCTTGACGCATGATAAGAAACCTCACTGATTCTCGCAGGTCAAGCATGCACAATGGAGCTTCCATTCACCCAATGTGCTCTATGTACTGTATATGCGGAAATGTAGATGACAGAATTTTTAGTTTTGGGGTGAATTAAGGGGGAATTGACTAAACAGTTGCTCCACTTTAGCATTCATAAATTACCCTGATTGACAAAAGTAACTGACATTTGGCCATTTTGAGTTTAGTGACATTGCCTGATAACCTACAGATAACCTGTGTTTTTTTTTTACAGTGAAGATCATAAAAAAAAAAAAAGGTTTCAACAAATGTGTGCATGTCTCATTTTCTGTAATTAAATTCTTTTTTAGCCTACACCAAGTCTGGAAATTATAAGCAAATTATTTTTCATTTTGGTTAGTTTTTAACAAGAACTTATTTGTTAGGATTATATGAACAATAATGAAGTTCTTTTGACATGAACATTTATAGATGGTCTAAAGCAAAGGAGTTATACAAATTGTAGCGTCTGCGTAGGATCATGCATGAGCGTTGGACTGTTTATGGCTTATTTCATTTAAAAGTGTCATGTTTGGGATTTTATTTGAAGCTATAGCTTCTGACTTTTAAATCAAAACATACTCATGATTTTATGACATCAATTACTGCTTTATTTAATCAGAAACACATTCTAAATGTTATTTGTGTTTTTTACTTTCATTTTATTAGAAGTAGGCCAATTAAAACTCCATAACGAATGGGCATTCGGACCCGGGGGAGGCTGCCGCTGCTGCACGTGCTATTACTGTTTACTCCAGTGTTTCCCCTGCCATTATATTAGGGGGGCGGCCCATTAGTGATGGAAAGTTCGGATCATTTTACCGACTCGGACCTTTGAGTCTTGTTCAGCAAAATGAACAAATCTTTTTTCGAGTCATTTCGTTCATTTTAACAAAATATAATTAAAATGTTAGGTGTTACTTCCCTAACACATCTACTACTTACGCAAACGTTGATCACACTACAAACAATACAAAACTGCTATAAGAAACAGAAAACATTAATTCATTGTTTACCTGAGTCTTCAGTCTATGATTAACTCACCTCACCTCTTATCTGACAAGTCTTCGTGTTTGGGCTTATGGGGCTGTCACGTGATGAATGAACGACTCAAACCCGAAGACTCGAGAGATGAACTAATCAATTCTCTTTCCAGCTCAGACTGCATTGGTTAAACCTATGGGGCTGTCACGTGATGAACGAGTGACTCGAAAAAACCGAAGACTCGAACCAGGTGAACTACTTGACTAATTCCAGTACAGAACCTATATGATGTTGCGCATGTGCGACTGAACAAATCACTCCCCGAGATGACTCGTTCTTCCCGAGTCACATTAAAGATTCTTTCAAGAATGACCCAACACTACGGTCCATGTCAATAAGACACCCCCGCCCCCCTTGAAGGTCAAGTTAATTAGATTTTCTCTATAGCGCCAGATCACAACACAAGTCATTTAAAGTTACCTTTCCTATAGAACAGGTCTATACGTTGTTATTTTATTAAACAAACTAAATAGCCTTATGTTACTTATCTTATTTACACGACGGCATGTCATTTTTGTCTCTACGTTACATGGTCAGAGCCGGAGTTCCGCCCCGATGCGCACACAAGTGAGCACACTCACACTCCCACTATTATTTGTGAATATTAAGCCGCAAAACGACCATTTAAATATTAATTCTGTGTGTCTATGTGTTAATGAATGGTGCAGACGCGCGTTTTTTTTTACTACTTGTACTGAAGTGCTTCCGGTGATATTAACATCTGCCGTCTCACTAATGAGGAAATAAACACATGAACAACATCTCCAGAACTGCTCTGAGAGTCACTTCATGAGCATTTTACCGTTTCTTTTGAGTAAAACTATCCTCATATCATATACACACAGGAATGTAAAGGTATTCACAGCAACCCGTCAAAATAAAAGTTCGGTTTAACTTGAAGACATTGCGGCTGAAATATATTACTATTGTTCAGTAGAATGTACGTAATAGGCTACTACTACTAAAATTATTAAAACCTTATTTTTAAGGAATAATCATACAATATTTATTCAATGTTTTAATTGTAATATTAAATCCCCTTTATTTTGCAAAAATAAAATTGGTTTAATTTTCATTAATTAAAAGAAATTAAATGACGTTAAAAAATGTAAATACACAACACAGAATTTCTGAGGAAAAAAAAATCATTAGGCTATTGAAAGAATAAATGAAACATGTTTTTATGCTTTCAAATAATTAGACATATTAAAACACAGAATTTGGTAACAATAAAACATAGGGTTGGAAAAAATAAAACATTTCATTGGGCCCTAAACATGTCATTTTTGTTAAACTTTTAATAAATTGATGTTAAATTGTTTAAGTTTCATGATTTTAAATAATAAAACATGCTTTTTGATTACTAAAATTAAATTAAAAAGGAGTCCAGAAAAATTTAAACGGAAAAAAACACAACCCCCCCAAAGCCGTAAACCTAGGGGAAACACTGTACTCTATCATACACCGAAGGCATTCCGTACGAGCATTCTCAGTTTAAATGCAGCGATCCAAAACAGTGAATCTAATCACCATTCAGGCAAAATTTTGCTTCAAGTATGAGCCACAACGCTGACATGATCTAACTGCAAGCACACCCTGAGCACATGTGAGCAAAAACGTTGCATTCGAATTTAAGGTCTGCATCAGCCGTCAGGCAGCCTTATCAGTGGCGCACGAGATGCGATGACGATGTATGTGTCATTGATTGCATTTGAATGCTTTTGTTAGCCTATCCAGTTGAACCCACTAGATGCTGCGCTGCTACGTTGTTCATTCATATATTGCGGAAAATGAGAGCATCAGTGTGGAGAAGATGTTGTTTACGTCAAAACTGAAACCAAGCCATTCACACAGAATGCATATTTATCACATTTTCTAGAGGGACATCTATCAGCATTGCACTCGCGTCTCGCAGAGAGCGGCATGTTTAGAAAGCCATGTAAAATTATTGCAAGTTCAACTTTTAAAAAACATGTCTAAAGACGTTATGGCGGTTTTTCCCCATCCCACTGCATCTCATGTTTTTAAATGAAGAAAGTAGCCTACTCTTTGTGATTGGTTTTCGGTCCTTTGTATTAAACTATACATACATGCAAGGTGCTGTTTTTTTTGTAATGGTTTAAGCAACTTTATTAATTATATATGGTTTATAAACATTATGCACTATTTTTCCAAAGATAGTCGTGTTATTTTATTACGCTTTGAAGAAAAGTGCATAATATTTTGCTCGATGCACCCTCTTGTGGCCTCAGGAGAGAAGCCAAAAGCTTTTTCCCCCTAATTGAAATTATGCCTTTTAAATTTGAATTTTGATAATATTTAAGTAGAAAATTAGAATTTAGTTTTTCAGTCATTTTGACAGCCCTACCGTGATAAAAGCATTAGCAATTAATCGCAACATGAAAATTTGATACCAGCATATTCCTAAAGCAGACTGCCCGTTCATTCTTGTCTACAACACTCGTCCTGTTACCTGCTTGCAGTCCCGAACAGAAGGTGGATGAAAACCTTTGCAGGGACACGTCTATATCCGTGGTGCTGTGCAGTCCCAGCAGCCGTGGCAGCAGTGCAGCTAGAGACTGCACAAAGAGCCGGGCGCTCTGCTGGTCCGCTTCCTGGTTCTTCAGCAGTTTTAGGGACAGAGCAGCCGTCCGTAGCGTACGGTGCCCGGGACAGTCCCGTGGCGTCTGCTCCTCGTCAGCGAGAGAGCAGTTATCAGAGCCCACATCGGACACATCAGAGCGTCCAGAGTCCTTTTCTGCAGCCATGGAGTACTGGTCGCACGAATCGAACTCTGTTCGCGACAGCTCCTGCTCGTCCGCACTGAAGTTGCTTTCGCTGTAGCGTGAGCCGTGTGAGCGTGTCCGAGACTCCACAGACAGGAAGTTGGTGATGTCAGGGTAGGCCAGGCCGTGGCTGCGCTGCACTACATCAGGAGGGGCCGTACTGGACGGGGCTTCTGGGACGCCGCCGTCTCGAACACATTCTGGTAGATCCGTGCGAGCTCTCGCCGCGGCTCCACAGGTAGAAGGTGAAGATAGGCGTGGTTCCTCCCCGCAGTCCTCTGGAGTGGTCTGGCCCATTTCCCCTTCCAGAGTGGTCTGACCCACGTCCCCCTCCAGTGTGGTCTGGCCTGTGTCTGTGGTGACGCTGATGCTGATGTCAGGGCTGCGTTCAGTGATGCTGCTCTCCCAGGCGGCGTTCTCAGAAGAAAGCACACGCCGTTGCCAGCGGAAGTCAGCTTCGTTGAGTTCCACAGACTCGCGCATAGACTCCACCCCTTCCTTTAGCTCATCCAATCGCCGCAGCAGCATGCGGGACTGATCTTGCTGCAGGCCACGCCCCTGGCTGAGCTCATCTAATGCACCCAATAGGGCACAAGCACAGGAGACAGAAGAGTAGCAGGCCTCAATCCCGCCCTTCATGCAAGCTTCTGTTATACCGTCCATTACCCTGAGAAAATAGGAAAGATGCTGACATTCCCACAGATGCCCACAGACTTAAGACATCCTTTTAAGGCTAATTCACACTGTACGGTCATAGCCCAATAAACACATTTGTCTGGATTTTTCAGATCGATGTGTTAAAGGGGTCATGACATGGGTTTTTTAAATATTTGAATATGTTCCTTGAGGTTTACTTATAATGTTAAAGTTTTTTTACACAAAAAAAACAAATAAATACAATTCTGACGCTTTCTCTAAAACGACCTGTTTTAAGGGGCGGGTCCTTTAAGGCTTGTCAGTAATCACCACTGTTATGAATGGTTAACTTCATTGCATAGGAAACAATATCAATGCCCCCATTGCTATTGCATGAGTGTTTTGACAACATAATTTAAAAAACCGTCATTTCCAGACAAAGCATTACTAAATCATTTATTTACGGTTTGTGATGCAGTTGCAGTCATATGTAGTACCGCTTCATCTTTCAACAAATGTTTCTTTGTGAACCATGACACTGTGCCTCGTTTACAAAACAAAATGCTTTGAACAATCCACAGACAGGATCTGGGATGCCATTAAAGATAAACTATCCACTTGTTCCTTACGCTGGGATCCTTCTGATATCTGTACACAGACACGAACAAGCGGTTTAAACTAAACATAACGCGTCAAAACTAAATGTTTCTTCACTCCATTTGTCATTTCACGAGTTTGCACCAACATATGATGTGATTGAGCAATTAGTAGCATATTTGGCGTGCTGTCCAGAGGGAGGGCTCCGAGCTCAGGTTAAAGCCCGAACCCAGAGAACTCCCCAATGAAGCTAATGGCATGAGACAGTAGCCGGAGAGAAAATTGTAAGTAGCCCCCAAAAATATGCGTGCCGTGAAGAAAAGTAGGGCGTGCGAGGAGGCGGCAGGGCGACTGGGAGGGGTCATGCGGTGCTTGAACGGGAGCTGCGACTCTCCGCGTCGGATGGCAAGCCCTACCTGTCGCCGAATGAGGAGCACGATGGAAGGCCGGGTGAAGGACTCTCACTGCGTCCGAAGGGAGCTGCGGCTCTGCTGCACCGGAAGGGAGAGTCCCTCTTGTAGCTGAATACGTGGTGTGGTTTAAAGCGTCAGATGGAAGGCTCTCACTATGACCGAAAGGAGCTGCGGCTCTGCTGCACCGGAAGGGAGAGTCCCTCTTGTAGCTGAATACGTGGTGTGGTTTAAAGCGTCAGATGGAAGGCTCTCACTATGACCGAAAGGAGCTGCGGCTCTGCTGCACCGGAAGGGAGAGTCCCTCTTGTAGCTGAATACGTGGTGTGGTTTAAAGCGTCAGATGGAAGGCTCTCACTATGACCGAAAGGAGCTGCGGCTCTGCTGCACCGGAAGGGAGAGTCCCTCTTGTAGCTGAATACGTGGTGTGGTTTAAAGCGTCAGATGGAAGGCTCTCACTATGACCGAAAGGAGCTGCGGCTCTGCTGCACCGGAAGGGAGAGCCCTGTGCGATGTGGAAAAAGCAAATGGGGCTCAAAACGACAGATGGAGGGCTCTTGCTGCGACCGAAGGGAGTCATGGCTCTGCTGCACCAGAAGGGAGAGCCCTGTCCAATGTTGAATAAGCCATTAGGCTCGAAACGACGGATGGAGGCACTGCGGCGGTAGTAACAAATTAAGAGGGGCACTGCGGCGGCAGTTTTAAATGAACGAAAACGACAGATGGAGGGCTCTTGCTGCGACCGAAGGGAGTCATGGCTCTGCTGCACCAGAAGGGAGAGCCCTGTCCAATGTTGAATAAGCCATTAGGCTCGAAACGACGGATGGAGGCACTGCGGCGGTAGTAACAAATTAAGCAGGCACTGCAGCGGCAGAATTTAATTGAGCAGAGCGCTGCGTCGGCAGTATCAGATGAGCGGGGCACTGCGTCGGCAGTATCAAATGAGCGGGGCACTGTGGTGGCAGTATCAAATGAGCGGGGCATTGCGGCGGCAGCATCAAATTAAGAGGGGCATTGCGGCGGCAGCATCAAATTAAGAGGGGCACTGCGGCGGCAGTTTCAAATGAACGGGGCACTGCGGCAGCAGTTTCAAATGAGCGGGGCACTGCGGCGGCAATATCAAATTGAGCGGGGCACTGCGGCGGCAATATCAAATTGAGCGGGGCACTGCGGCGGCAGGATCAAATTAAGCGGGGCACTGCAGCAGCAGTATCAAATGAGCGGGGCACTGCGGAAGCAGTATCAAATTAAGCGGGGCACTGCGGCGGCAGTTTCAAATGAACGGGGCACTGCGGCAGCAGTTTCAAATGAGCGGGGCACTGCGGCGGCAATATCAAATTGCACTGCAGCGGCAGAATTTAATTGAGCAGAGCGCTGCGTCGGCAGTATCAACTGCGGGAGCGAATTGAGCGGCAGTATCAAATGAGCGGGGCACTGCGGCGGCAGTATCAAATTAAGCGGGGCACTGCGGCGGCAGTATCAAATTGAGCAGGGCACTGCGGCGGCAGTATGAAATGAGAAATGAGCAGGGCACTGCAGCGGCAGTATCAAATGAGAAATGAGCAGGGCACTGCGGCGGCAGTATCAAATTAAGCGGGGCACTGAAGCGGCAGTATCAAATTAAGCGGGGCACTGAAGCGGCAGTATCAAATTAAGCGGGGCACTGAAGCGGCAGTATCAAATTAAGCGGGGCACTGAAGCGGCAGTATAAAATGAGCAGGGCACTGCGGCGGCAGTATCAAATTTCATTTAACTGATCAGAATTAGATGGGCTTTCTTTGTGTGAAAATTATTGGTCCTGATATAGCTCTTGAAGGCGTCCAATGACCATCGACCGAGAGTTTGGATCTGCTGCTGTGAGAGGCCTTTTTGAGCTGCTGTAGTTACTGCCCCGATTCGGAAGGAGTGGCTGGAAAAT